TCTCAATTTTAATACATATCCCATATTAAAACCTCTTATCTGCACGCGTTGCGTTATAAAGTGACTTTCATATGACAAAGAAAAAATATCAAAGAAGGCTACTGTGGTAATGGAGATAGTGATGGTTTACGTTCGTGAGTATCTGATCAAGTCAAGTATGTAAAAACAAATTATTCTCATGAATCAAGAAGCAAGTTGCTCTTTATAAATTCTATTTATTAACACTGCAACGTTTTACATCAATAAACGCAGTAATAAGCTTGCTGGATAGTACAGTACCTGTGCTAACTCATGAAATGCCGAGGTCAAAATAAGAGTGGAAAATTTAGCGTATTTTTGGTGCTGTTATTTGTGTGTATTTAGTTGAAATAAGGACGAAAAGGCCGTTTGCTGAAGGAAAGTTTGATACGGATCTGTATATTAAATAGAAAACGGGTCGCATTTCGGCGAAATCGGAGGATTCCTGATATTCAAGCAGTTTCCTACGCTATTAAGGCTTTCAGATCAAAATTCTTTGTGACCTTATTAATCTGTTTAAGAAGATTAATAAAAGGACGAAATTTTTCAATAAACTGTCGAACAAAAAGAAAAAATTAAATGTCAATATCAAGAAAATCAGGGAAATGCAAATAAATTATTTCTTATTGTGTTCAGGAAGTAACGTGCGATTCTTGAAGGAGAATGGGAGTCTAGTTTCAGTAGACTACCCTGTCGAGTATAACGGTTGACCGGCTTTTGTCAGCAGGCAGAATAACTATTTTAGTGTCCGCCTTTAACGGTCACGATGACATGCGAATCGGATGCAGCCAGGCAGGTGGAATTGGCGGGCCAAGCATCAAACAAAACGCGCATGAATGCCTGGTCTCTGAAGATGTGTAGACAAAGCAAATACTATACACGTCAGACTTCTAATAAACCTCTCCCTGTGAATACCTGGTCCACTTTTGATTTAAATCAGTGTTTATGATTTAGGTGAAATTTAATTGTCCGTAGAAAGCGATAGAAGTAAGTGCATTTTGATTGGAAACCTCTTTTGGGGTAGTTCTTTTATGCAATTTGAAAGAAATATTCGCGTCAGTGATGTAAAGATCACTGCGATATAACGAAGTTAAAGTGAGTACTGTCACTGCGTCTGCATATGACTAGTCACATCTTAAATTGCATTTTCTTGTTGTAGGTTATTAATGGCACTTAAATGGGCTGAAAGTGAGCAGTAAGTATCAACGGATGCAAAAAGTATTCCTTCGACGGGGGATTTTGAGAGGCTATTCGGGGAATATACGATAACCTGTGAGCGTATATAAATAATCCCCAATAAACTAAGTTTGGGCAAAATTCGCAGTTCCCCTTTCGGAGAATATACGGCAAAGCGTATCGGCGTTGCATCGTTCAATAAAATAAATGAAATTCCAAGAGACATGGAAGACTTTTTTAATCTCATACTTCCCCATTGGTTAGTAGATCTGACGGATGAGTCATGAAAATCATGTATACTAATGGGGAGAAAAAAACTAGATAAAATAACAGGATATTTAAAAGAGTAGGTTTTAGCCATTTTTTGTGTAAGTAGCAAGGTGCATGCCTCGCTGACGCACACGCTTTTAGTGTAACTTTCGAATGGGTAAGTAAGTAGCGGTGAGATAATATTTGTCCTTAAATGCTATCAGCAAGCGTAGCAGTGACTTAAACCACGTAATAGCTTAAGTATTGAAGGTAGTTTAAGAGCTAAAATAATGTAACGAGAACTAATTTTGCAGATCATGGGGCGAAATTGCAGTCTTCGCGCGGTCACAAAGGCTAGCAGACGAATCATCTAAACTGAAGGGGACAATTTACCACATAATATTAAGGAGAATAATAAATTCGAAAACCTATGGTCACAGCTCTCAAAAATCCCTGCGCCAATCATTTGACTAGTTTATTCTATGCAGATATAAAATGTTGTAGTACACATATTTGTGTAAGCTCGAAGTATAAACGGGCGCAAATGCGATATCATTTATCGCCTGTTTATTCGGTTGACGAACTAAATTTACACGCGACATCATTGTCAGGACAAAATAAATATATATTTCATGAAGTAGCTGACCCATCTCCCTGGAACATGATATTAAAGTGCGCCACAAGGTTCTTAACCCAGTGCTCGATCGCCGACTAACAGATCGATAAGCTTATTGATTGAGTTGTCGGCAGAATGGAACGCCACCTACATCCTGTGAGAAACCGGTCATCCTATTGGTCTGGTGTTCTGGCGCGGCCAAAAGCTAAGTTGTGCACTGATTATTACGTCTCACGGTTCTTTATGCTCAGAACGACATGACTGCGTACGCAAAACGTACTCGCAATCTTCACAGTATGGCGAAGTGTTAAAGACAAAAGTTTTGCGACCACGAATGAATGCAGTGTTTGCATTTATCTCACAGTTCCTGCCCATGAACCACCAAATGCGGCAAAAATATCTATAAATTGGGCATAGATGCATGGGAACTATGCGGAAAACACATAAACATTCTGGTCATTTAAGTTCCATAGAAGTGTATCGCATTATGGTCGGATTACTGCCAGCAAGTTAAGTTTCCAACTTTTATCTCTTTCAAATGATTCTACAGTTTTACCAAATAACTGACTAAAGTCCTTTTTCGCCACACGGAATGATTCGGACATGCAACATTTCTCATTTCTCACTTGTTGACAAGAATAATATGTTTAAACAGATTTCCACTGCGCAGTCAGTTGGACACTAGAAAATGTGAGAATGCCCCTTGATCGTGTCGGGAGTGCGGTCGAGCGAAAGGAGGGCTTTCGAGGAAGAAGCTGTTCATTACTGTTGATTCAAGTGATCTTGCTGAAAAAAATGAAGAAAGGAGTTGTTTATGAAAGAGATTTATTGGTTTAATCAGCTAGCATAACATCCTAGGAATGCTATCGGAGAAATAGCATTTGTACTTGCTGCTGATCGAGAGAAGTTTAGCAAGGCTGACTCCGACTTTCAGGGGTTTATTCCGGATCCAGCTTAGTGGCCAGCCTTAACTTAAAAAACATCACTTCCCAAGGAATAACTGCATTTCCATGATTAGGCAGAACCCCGGTTCTGGTGTATTTTCCGTTAACATCGTACTTGTAATCATATTTCGCCAACGAATGTACATGGCATTCATGATCCTTCAAAAGTAAATTATAGGGAAGTGTGAAGTTGTTCTTCGTCCATGGTGTTACCATGATGGCATACGCTCTTGCTTTTGAATCATCCTAAAAAAGGGGTCATTTTTCACTGTTATTGGATAATCACGGTTTCTGTTTTAGTTCTGCCTGCGTTTTGGTGCATTGATTCACAAATTATGAAATATGAATTAAAATATCTCTGGGCTGCCAAATCTGTTGGTGAACGGTGCGATCTTTAAGCACTTTCATTTTACCCCCTCCCCTAGCTCTGACGACTAACACCCGCCGACCTTCTCATGGGAGCGGCGTGGGGATGATGAGTGTTAGTGACTTAATAGCCCTTGAGGCATCTATAAACACTGTTGATGTTGTACATTTTCATTCGTTCATGTAATTGTATTGGCCTGAGGAGGAATTACCGAAAACGTGCGTTCGCCAACTTGACTTTTCAATTGTAACATGGGAATATTTGCGGAACTTAGATAATCCAAAGATCCCTCGGTGTTAAAGGAACTCAATGAATTCCTAAAGTTTAACACCAGACTTGAGGAGGCACACGTGACGAGGAAATTCTTATCAGGATGTATTGAACGGGGTGAATATCCCAAATACTACTGGAAAACCTTACGGAGAAACCATATCACCGCAACTTCAACTGCACTAAACCGACACGCAGAAAGTCACCTTGAGACAGTTAATGCCGGAATTAAAGAACTCCAGCGGAACTTGTGTCAGAGAGCAGGGACTCTCGACTGCCTTGAAAATTACGAGAGATTGGCATTTAAAGACTATGTAGATACAGTCAGAATTAAAAGAATGGAGGCCAGGTGGACTAAGCTCCTACGAAGCGTCCAGTCAGTAAAACCTCAGACCGTCCTTCCGAACAATCCGGAACGGTACGTGCATAACTATTCTTCAGTACGTCTTGATAAAGATCTCGTAGAGGTACTAGCTCTTGGCCCTAAGTTTTGTATTGCACGGCGGATGCCGAAACAATTAGAGCTAGAAATCCAATTTGAGAGTCTCCTTAGTCAGACTGCAGATCTAAAACCCACCGAAGCTAGAGAAGTTGATTGTCTTAAGTCGACTCTGGTTAACTGCTGCCAACAGTATCTAAGGAAGTCACCGAGAACTAAGGGTCCCTTGACAAGGGCCCATATCGATAGCCTTAGGGAGCTTCGTAAAACCAAAAACATTGTGCTACTAGACCGGATAAAGGTTCGGGAGTAGTACTGATGGATAGGACGGACTATGTGGCGAAACTAGAGGAAATACTGTCGGATCGTTCCAAGTTCTCAAAATCTGAGAAAGACAAGGATCGCACGGAGGCTGTCGAGGGTCAGCTGACGACTATTCTCTAAGATCTCTGCAAAGAAGGCCTTTTGTCTAGCAAAGAATATGAACGACTGAGACCGGTGGGCTCGACAATACCAAGAATGTACGGTCTTCCTAAAATTCACAAACAAGGGCTGCCTCTACGTCCAATCTTGGATATGAGCAATTTGCTCTATCATACGGTTGCAAAAAGGCTAGTGGAAAGACTAAAGCCATTGCAAAGTTACCTATACCCTCGAAGTTTAAAAGACTCCTTTGCTTTCGTCGAAGCTATCAAAAATATGAACGTTGGCGGACGGAGGATGTTATCACTGGACGTATCATCGCTGTTTACCAAAGTACCCGTGGCAGAAACAATAAACTATCTTTGTGATGTTATTCGTGATACGAACTACCCCATAGACATGCCTGTGAAAACGCTAAAAGAACTACTGACGCTTTGCACACAAAATGTCCAATTTATGTGCAATGGTCAGTTATACAGGCAGGTAGATGGTGTGGCAATGGGATCACCGCTTGGACCGTTCCTTGCAAATATTTTTATGGGCAAAGTCGAGAAAACAAGCTTGCAAGAGACCATTAATGGCCTCGTCTTCTACGGTCGGTACGTGGACGATATCTTCTGCCTGGCGGATGGTACCACCGATACCGAGGAGCTTGTCCAAAATTTCAACAGTGCGCACCCCTCGCTAAAGTTCACTGCAGAGACCGAGGCAGATAACGAACTTGCCTTTCTCGATGTCCTTCTGCACAGGCAAGAGGATGGGTCTATCCAGCGCAGGGTGTTCCGAAAGAAAACCTGGACGGGACAATACGTTAATTTCCACAGTTTTGTTCCCCTAAACATCAAACGGAATTTAGTCCAGGGATTGGCGGCTAGAGTGAGACGCATCTGCTCACCTGAAGCTATTGAAGAAGAACTTAAACAGCTGCGGAACACACTTCGGGAGAACGGATACCCAGATAGATTTATCCTCCGAAATATTGGGGAACGCGTTGAAAAGCCCACTGTTGCGACTGCGAAGAAGAAAGATGTATTCATAAGATTGCCTTTTAGAGGAGATGCAGAGAGCGAACTAGTCCGACGGCGCTAAACTACAGCTATCACGAGGGCATTCCCTGCGGCGAATTTACGCGTATGTTTCACAAACTCTCCCCTCCTACGTTTGGGAGGTAAAGACAGACTACCGTTGGAGGCCACATCAATGTGCATTTATTCATTCACTTGCTTCTGTGGAGCAGGATACATCGGCCGCACAACGAGACGCCTGGTAAAGAGGATGCGTGAACATATGTCCGCCTGGCTAGACAGAGGTGAGACCCGGTCGATTTCGAGTTCTATTCTCGCGCATTTAATCAATACGAACCACCGAGTCGATGCCAAGAAAGCATTTCATGTTGTCTACCGGACACCAACATGCTTCTCTAAAGGCCTACGCCAACGGATACTAGCAACGGCCGAGGCAGTAGCGATACGGTTCGTGAATCCGGTGCTACGCTGTCAGAAAACTCTGACACGAGCGCTTTCGCTGCCGTGGCCAACGCCAACCCCAAGTGATGAAGCCATGCCGCATCAAATCCCTAATCACGATGATGGGTACTCCGTGTACTCAACCCAAGAATATTACTCAAAGACTCTCTTACCCCCCTCACCTAGCTCTGACGACTAACACCCGCCGACCTTCTCATGGGGGCGGCGTGGGGATGATGAGTGTTAGTGACTTAATAGCCCTTGAGGCATCTATAAACACTGTTGATTTTGTATATTTTCATTCGTTCATGTAATTGTATTGGCCTGAGGAAGAATTACCGAAAACGTGCGTTCGCCAACTTGACTTTTCAATTGTAACATGGGAATATTCGCGGAATTTACCTGTTTGTGTGTTTGCTTGCAAAATGCCTGAGTTGACAGGCGCGTACATATACGTATGTGGCTTATTGGCAGCGTGTCAGCAAGACTGACTCTTACTTTTAGGGGGTTAGTTTCGGATTAAACTTAATAGCTAGCCTAAACTTGGTAAATGGTGATCCGCAAGAAAGAACTGCAAAAAACAACTCCTTGACCAAATGAAGCATCGGTCTTTGGTGCAAAAACGAATTTACAAACATATTTCGCATATGGAGGCACACGGAATCCGTAATCTTTTACAGGGGAATTATGAGAGGGAGTGGAAATTCCCCTTCTATTGCGTTACCTAGGTTGCGTACGCCTTTGTTATTGAATCAAACTAGAAAGATTATTGTCTATGTGTGGAGGAGTACATTAACACAGTATAAAAAACAACTGAAGTGTTAAGTTCAGTTGCGGCGTTTGTTTTCTTGGTGCAATTTATGCCGATTTACGCTTTTGTTTGGAGATATTTACGCGAAATAAGAAGAACCTGCTCAACTCTTCAAGCTTATTTAGCGAACCCTTATCATTCATTTTTATGAACAGACGAAATTTTGTCCGTAGACGCGCTTTATGTGCAACGGTTACTTGCACAATGTGTCACCCGAAAATAAGAAGTCTGGTTTTTCAATTGAAGGTATTTAGAGACACATTTTTCGACAGAAACATGGCCCATGTCAAATACGTTGACCGGATATATAGACTCCCTAGCACGCAAATAATTCCTGCCTTCCCAGTCGTCTTTTGACCATTATGTCACATCAGTCGCGTCACTCACGGAGCTTACGCGTGCAGCATCTTAACAACCAGCCCGGGAACGACATTTTGGGGAAAAGATCTGCAGCCTGACTGCTTCCCTCTCGGAGCGAATGGGTGCACAGTTGTCAGCCTGAGTTCCCATTTCCTCATCTGCTCATCATTGGCAAGTAACCAACGACCTGAGATTGCAATATGCAGACAATATAGCCTTAAAATTATGCGCCGGTACAGATGTCAGCAAAAAATTCATAGACTCGTGTCTACTGTATATCGTTTATCAATAATAGCATTGCATGCGGCTTCTCTGCATTTTGCTATTTGAAATTCTTCAATACACACAGTGGGTGATGTAACTCATTAAATATGGCTAATTTAGCAAAAGCCCACTAACAGTCTGAAACCACTCCGATCACACTCACCAATACTTCAAATTACTAATCGACGACGTTCAGTAAAATGGATACCCAAATTATTTATCTCGAGTACTACTTCACTGATGTGAAAAAACAAACTTTTGGAACAAGTACAAATGTCAAAAATGTGAACTCCATGCCACACACCTGGACGCACATTTTAGATAGGCGTACTGCTTGTTCAAATAAAAAACAAATTAGTTAAAACGGCGCAAGCGCATGGAATTTTAGTCATTCCTTTCTTTACTTATGCCTCCATTAGATATCCACCGAGTACTAGTGCTATGTGAAGTCTGGCACAATGTCAGGTTTGTACTGTCCGGTTGTATGTTTTAGTGATCTTGTAGGGCAAAATCAATATACTTCTCCGTTTTTACATTGTTTTATATGCAGTAAGTAAAAACAAGGATGATTTTTTCCGATTTCGCGGATAAAAATATCATTGAAAAGCGGCAGCAAGTTCCCACACGGTCAGGCCCATCGGTGACCATTAAATTTGAACAGAGTTCAGAGCTGCGACTGCAAGCATAGCATCTTGTGTATGCTAAGTGTGACTTCATTCGTTGAATTTATTTGCGCTTTTTCTGGTGATAGAGCACGTAGAGTTTCATATCATCCTTGAAGTAGCAGTGCTTACAATCAATTACCTATAAAGATAAAATTTGTTTTATATTTACAAGACCTTAAAAAATAGGATAATTCTTGGATGCTATTACCGAGCTAGCTCCTCCATTAAAATGACCGTTTGAGTCACATTTGGAAAGTCGTGCGAACTTATTTTCAGTCCAGTGACAGCTGGTTCCCTGCCGGTAGAGGTGCTTGCGCTCCCGCAGGCTATAAAGGTCGTCATCCTCGTCCTTCTACCCGTTGTGGAACTGTTTTAGTTTAAAGTTCTAGTTAAATGTTTGTTGTGGACCACGGGGGTGTGGTGGTACGCCAAGCTGCGAACCCGACCACGCCAGACACCCGCAACAGGTAGACTCTTTTGAAGACGCCTTGACTGGGCCGATTTGCGAACGCTATCCACGGTAATAGTTCAGGGATTAATCTCAACTAATCTCATTTTACACGGAGACCAGACCATCTCCACGCAAATATACTCTTTTACTTACTCCTGGCGAAAAGGTATTATTTGTGGAACAAGTTCTTGCCTAGCCAAAATACGAGAATATTCCCCTGCCAGACATTGAAAGGGCTAAATCAGGAGCATGAGGAGGGGCATTCTCGCATATATTGTTGGCTCGGGGCATCCTGTGGGCACTATCAAAACCCAACACATAGCTATTGAGGACCCGCTGAACTAGCCAATCAAGTTACGCACGTCGGACTTGGTCTTACAGTAGAACTTCGTACAGATCCCGCAACTGCTATGGCCGAAAACAGTTGACCGTCAGCAATTCATCACGCTCTCCCTACTATCCCCTGACATGGCTATTCCTAGACATGTACAATGCACGCAAACCACCGCGAAGAAGGAGACACGATCGCTGGAACAAGAGCTTTATTAGCCTGACTTATCGGATTCTCCCTCGAATCCATCATCAGAGACAGAGTCGGATGAGGGTCCCTTGTGTCAGGAGTTGAACAGTAGTAGATTTTGTTTAATACTTGAGTGTTTTTATTGACCCTGTTACCATATAAGTGCACTGGCATGATTTAATTTTGTCGAGAGTAGTTTTCAGAATTCATTTACGGAATCATCGCAACTTTGAAGCGAATAATGCGAAAAGGGAGACTGTTCTCCAATCCCGCCTTACGACGTAGCACATAGGAATTTTTAGCTGTTCCTATCGGTCACCAACAGTAATGTGAACAACTGACAACTGATCTGATACCTCTGCTACAAACGTTGCAGCGATACCTCCGTACTCCTGCATGTCGTGTTTTCCAAGCTGGGCTGAAGTGTTTTTCTCCAACGTGACCCGCCTACGCTAACTGCATGAATCCCCCTGCGCCCCTGCACCCCCTTCGTCTTCCATCAGGTTGCGGCTGTCAACCTGTCGGAGTGCATCAGCTGTTCAGTCATCACCTAGATCAGTTAAGTGCTTTCCGAATGGCCATCGCGCAGCCACATGAAATCCATTATGATCCGCTTTTCTTGCGCTGAGCATCGACTGAACAATGAACAGTTTACGTGGACTTTTACCTTTTTTTACATCAAACGCACGGATTGTCTGTTGAAGAAGCATGGTCGGTCGGTTGTTATTCGCTGGGTAGATGAGATAGGTGGTGGCGAATGTAACGGGGTTTATTTGAGTAAGAGCAGGCCAAAGTCGTTTGGCGCAGATAGAAGCAAATTGCTGGAGAAAGCGTCAACGGCTACCTGCGTGTCAAACTCATACGCCCGACCTGAGCACCGGGTGATGAAGGACAGTAGTGGATGGGTGGATGAGGCCCTCCTACGTCCTACCTTACGTCAAGAAACCGCCATCTGACGTCGCAGAAAGCTCAGAGCGAGCTACAATTAATGTCCAAACACTCAACGTGCCCGTTCGGCGTGCAAAAACCTGCCAGAATTCAGCGACCTGTTTAACTGTTACTCTTCGCCGTCGTGGACGATTTGTCCACAACGTGTGTCTTGTTATGGTCGTCTCTTTTTGGACGCATGCCTACGTCTTTTGCTTGCATTTGCGTTGCAGCATATGTCTTCAAGTAAAAACGGCTTGATCTCTTACACTCTGTACTATTTGCAATCATTCTATAATCATAAGTTTCCGTGGAGATTTTAACTTTACCTTTAATTACGTTAAATGTGCGAACTCATGAACTCCGAAATGCGTTTTCGACTCGAAAAGATTACTTAAGTAGGTTTGTTATATTAATCAGCATGCCGTATTATCCCACAATAATTCAATCACTTCAAAATGCGGAATTTCGAACAAATCCCATTCCGGTCGCCCGCAGAAACTACATTCTATAAAAATGACTAGTTAAATGACATGAGGGAGAGAGGTAGATGGGTGGAAGTGTACACGCCTACGTCCACCTTTCACCTCTCTACAAGACCAGGATGAACAATGAATTATATTTC